GGTGGCTCATCAATCTCGTGGTGTCATGATCACGTTGTGGGAACGTTTGATTGCCACATCTTCTGGAAAGAGCGGCGCTAGACGAGTGATCGGGCGCTTGTATACGCCAAATGCTGTCTTAACGTTAACACACTCGTACGTGGTTGTCCTGTCCAGGATATGCCTTAATGATGCGACCCATTGGCCACTTCATTACAGGAAGGTTGTCTTTCTTAACCAAAACTAATAATACTTCAGGTACGTTTGGTGAAGCAGTCTTCCATTTATGCCGAGCTTGCAATTCTTGGAAGGTATTCTGTAGACCATGTGTTCCAGAATGAATGCTTTAGACGCGATTACCAATTCCCAGCGCTTGACCAATGTTCTTCCTTGATGATCAGTATTGACGTCAGGAGGCGTTGTCAATGGTTCACCAATCAAGAAGTGTCCTGGGGTGAGCGCTGTTGTATTCAGTTGGGATCATTTGACATTGGAGTGATGGGATCGAGATTGAGAATTTGCTTCAATTTCGATTATCACTGTGTTTATGTTCTTCAATGTTAATGAGGCTGTGTTGGTGGTTGGTATCAACTGCTTTTTTGCTGATTTTTACCGCCGCTTCCCAGAGGCCGCCAAACGATGGAGCCCTGGGAGGAATGAATTTAAAATCCCACTTGCTTTTTGTTGCAATGATTCGTGATCAGAGCACTTGCCTTTGAGCTGAATATAGAGTCCTTCTAATTCTTTAAGCTGGTTGTTTGCACCACAAAGTTCGTTGCATTGTCGCAATGATAGTTTGGCACTTCCCACGTCTGCTTAAGAATCGACGCAGGGCGGCCAGAATGCATCTGTGGTCAGGTCGCTTACCAGCTCAGGTTGTACTGCCTTTGTGGAAAAGTAGCAAAACACGGCGATGTACGCCTTATCGGGTCTTTTGCCTCGGATCTTATGGTGGATCGAGATTGGTCCACAGTAGTCGACGGCCTACATTAAGAAACGGGCGTGCTAGTGTGACTCGTTGTGCTGGGAGATTGCCCATGATCTGGTGTATCAGCTTTGGTCTAGCCTTGGTGCATCTAACACAGCTGTGGATGATGCTTCTAGCCATTGTCTTGTCATTGATAATCCAATATTGTTGTCTTGCGATTGCCCTTAATGCTTGAGCACCACAATGCGATTCCTCTCGACAGGACATCGGCTGCGTTGTTGGCCGATGACACGTCGTGACGCCATTGTGTCTGATTTGTTAATGCCTGGATTTTGGCTATTCGATTTGCCACAAAGGTATGGTATGTTGATGACGATGCGTTTATCCAGGATAAAACAACGGTGGAATCACTCCAAAACCATCCTGAAACCGTTGTAATGTCCATGTGCAGATCCTGTCGGACTGGGTTTGTGAGCTCACTGCAGCACAAAGTTCTAACAGTGATAGTGATTGTTTGGCTGTCGGCGCCACACTTGATTTCGAACAGAGCAGTCTTACTGACACTTGGTTGTTTTTGTATGTAGCGCGTACATATACTGCTGCGCCATATGCTCGTTCTGATGCATCTACAAACTTATGGAGTTCTTGGGTAACTGGAATTTTACCATCGTAGATATGCCGGGGAATTTGCATTTTGTTCAATGTTTGTAAGTCGTCCCGGTATTCTTTCCATTCGGTTTGGTGTTGTAATGGTAATTCGTTATCCCAATCCAGTTTGAGCTCCCAAAGTTGTTGCATGAAGATTTTTGCCTTTACTACCACCGGTGCAAAGAGTCAAAGATTTGGGCCAGTTCGGAACATACCACCCGTTTGGTGATGCGTGTAGCCTGGCTTTTCTGTGTTCGTCCACACAATGTATCCTTCTTCGGCATCCAGATGAGACCCAGAGTTTTCACGCTGTAGTGCTCTAGTGTCTCTCCTAATTTTACATCGGTTACAATATCCTCTTTGGGGATTCCTTGGAGAAGTTGCTCATTGTTGGAGCACCACTTGAGCAATTTGAATCCGGACGGTAGAAATATCTTATTTAGTTCTTGTCGAGCATGAATTGCCTCTGGAATCGTGTTTGCTCCAGTTAGACAGTCGTCAACATAGAAATCTGTTTTTAATGTTGTTGATCCTACTGGTAGTCTGTCTTTGTATTGTATTGCCAAATGATCCAGACATTTCGTTGCTAGGAACGGAGCAGCTGTTGTCCCATATGTTACTGTTTTCAGGCGATAGTACCTGATCTCTTCGGATGGATTGCTTCTCCAGACTATCATCTGATGGAATTGATCCTCCGGATTCATCCACACTTGCCGGTACATCTTTTCTATGTCCGCTGTGAATACGTACTTATGAATTCGAAATCGTAGCAGAATGGACATAAGTTCGCTCTGAACGGTGGGTCCAGCCTGCAGAATGTCGTTCAAAGATTTCCCGCTTGTTGATTTGCATGAGGCATCGAATACTACCCGAAGCTTTCTGGTGGTGCTCTCAGGTTTGAGTACACAATGATGTGGAATGAAGTAGTGCCTTTTGGGAACTTTTGATGCTGGCACAATCTTCATATGTCCTAGTCCTTCATACTCTTCCATGAAGTCCACATAACTCTTCCAAGTTTCTGTTGAGCTTCGCCGCTCCAACGCTAGGAATCTTTTTGTTGCGGTTTCCAACGACTCCCCCAGGGCTGAAGGGTGTTCGGAAAATAGGAGCTTTACAATAAAACGGCCGTCTGAAGCTGTCTGAAGATTTTCTATAAAATGAGCTTCACACCGTGCTTCCACTGGAGTGCGTGGTTTGTCTTCCGTCTCTAGATTGTCCAGAGTGCAGAATCTTTCCATGAGCTCGTTTACTCCCGTTGCACAAATGGGTGAGGAATTGTGGGCAGATTTGACTTTTCCTGCCACAATCCATCCCAGCTTAGCTGTTGATCTGGTAGCAGCAGCGAGTAGTAATGCTCGACTCCGATTTACATGTCTGTGGCTGAACAGATATAGTGTTTTTTTTTTTTAAGTTCAGAGGAAAGGTAGCATGAATCTACAAGAAGAATTTACAATCGTTAATATTTTCCGTCATTTACCTCCAGTATTTGAACTATTTAAATAGAGGGGGCTTAAGAGGGCTAAGTTCGGGTTTTCAGATGCATATATTGTTGTTGAGGAACCAAAATTGAGGCAAAAACAATTAAAGTCAAGTATTTAAAACAAGACAGTTAAGTAGAAAATTGATTCATTAATCGGATAAAATTATGTGGGCAGGGCTGAGAGATCTAGATATCTAAAAATATTCGACGGAATATCAAAATTGTTTCTGCTTCGAACTGTATTGGAAAAAGCAATAATGCAGCTGGCTGGATGACAACAAAGCAATAATATAAGTCCAGTCCACATCATTGCAAAGCGACTGTCCCTGCATGGAGCAAACTAAGATCCTCGCCCGCATACAGCCAAAGCATGTCCATTTTCAAGGCGCGGTATGGACGACACAAAAATGTGACGTGTTTTCGGGAATTAAGAACAAAAGATTGTTATCCCCCCCCTGTATCTTTCAGTGTAAAAGAGTTCGATGATGCGCTGGCCCAGGATGTGGTTGACCTAAAGGAGCTGCGCAGACTGACGTTTAATGGTGGGATATCACACTTCTGATAGGCGTAGTAATTCATGGACATGAATCCAATCCAATCCACAGGTGTGCCCGATGTACAAAGCTTCCGTGCACTCAGCTGGAAACTGCTGTTGGGCTACTTGGGACCAAGACGCAGCAGTTGGACGACCACGCTGGCCCAGAAGCGAGCCCTGTACCAGCAGTTCATCGAGGAATTGGTACTCCCCCCGGGACACAGCTGCAATGGAGCTGGAGAAGGCGACGGGGACGGGGACGTCGCTGTTGATTCAAGGGGCGTTGGCCTACAAGATCATCCGCTTAGCGAGGGGCCAGAAAGCGCCTGGAACACATTATTCAATGACAACAAATTTCTGCTGCAGATCGGCAAAGCAGCCCACAGAGTATCCCTGTGACATTGTGGTGCACAGTAAAGGCGAGCACGGGCGCCGGCTTCACAAACGGGTAGTGCCCACGGTGCTCAGCTCGGCGGACGTCCTGGCCTGGGTTACGTACAGGGCATGAATGAGATTGTCGGACCCATCTACTATGTGATGGCCTCGGATCCGGATCTCTCGTACCGCGCCCACGCGGAGGCAGACTGTTTCTTCTGCTTCACGGCTCTAATGAGCGAGATACGCGACTTCTTCATCAAGACTCTGGACGATGCGGAGGGTGGTATAAAGTTCATGATGGGCCTGCTATCTAACATGCTGAAGACTAAAGATATAGCATCTGAAGAGCCAAGAGCTGCCTCCGCAGTACTACAGCTTCAGGTGGCTCACCCTCCTGCTCTCGCAGGAGTTTCCACTGCCCGATGTGCTGCGAATTTGCGATTAGGTATTCTCGGACGAGCAGCGCTTTAATTTTCTCATCAAAATCTGCTGAACCATGATATTGTAAGCATGCGCTGACTTTGAACTGATTCATTTGCATTTACTGATGTATTTACTGATTTATAGAATCCAAAGGGAAGCAATTTTAGAGAACGACTTTGCCTCGAATGTGAAGCTGCTGCAAAACTATCCACCCATTGACATAAACGTTGTGATTACTCATGCAGTCTCCCTGGCGTAGCACTCACTTTTAGTGATACCACAGATATTACATATAATACCCGATTCCGGGTAGAGTCTGACAAAGCAATAATCCACAGTGTCTAGTTATCATGTTCAATAGTTGGAAGCCCAGGACCCAACAAAAGATCGAACACTAGCGCTGTTTCTCTGTTTTATACGTTACAATTTCATAATAAACGAATGTGCCGCATGTGTTTGTGTGGAGATTAAAAATGCGAAAACATATGTAAAATAGAGTGATCATAGCTCAAGTGTAATTTTGTGTTCGTGTGTGGCATCGTCAAAAAACACAGTAAAAAATATATATAACATTGGATTCCCGTTAGAGATTGATTACTTGGCCAAACGTGGGGCCGTATCCTTGCAAATCGTCTGAGCAATAAACTCCACCAGTGTTCGGGTCGGGCGGCCGGCCATTCCCTTGCGCAGATACTCGTATTCGAAGCCCTTTGTCACCATAACATTTGTGGCATCCTTTGAGGGAGAAAATCCATAAGATCTGCGCCCCAACAAAGCGCCCCACAATACTCACAATATGCATCTACTGGCCACAGGGCACAAACTCACGGAGAAAGGCAGCGGCCTTGCAGGGACGTCCACCTCGGTCAATGCCATAGTTCTGCACATCGCTGCGTCCCCCGGCACGCGCGGCCTTGCTGTAATATTTCCACAATGGGAAGCGCCACACACGATCTCCGGTATGCATGCTGGCGTGCTTGATCTGCTGCCACAGGATCTCCGAGTTGGTAAAGACCCCCGCAGCCGACTCATCCAGGGCCTGGCGCATGTAGCCCGAGCAGGTGCCGACGTCAATGATGCACTTGGGACAGAAGTTTTGCGCATACAGCAGGGCGTCTGCCAGGACCAGTACATCCTCGTGATCGGTGCACTGGATCTCGATGATCTTGCCGTTCATGGACTTGACCATGTCCCCAGTACGGACCGAATTGCAGCCCACTACGTTTTCACAAAGAGGTATCAGGCCGCGAATGTTGACCTAAGAACAGCATTATTATTCAAGGAGATATCATTTCTGTCCTGAGTACTTACCGGTAAACGCAGGCCAGCCACAGCTCGACAACAGGCCACCACAACGGCGGCCCCGGTCATGTCGCCACGCATATGGAAGAGCTCATGTTTCTCTTTCAGGCACAATCCTCCAGCATCGTAAGTCACGCCTTGGCCCACCAGCACAATGGGGCGCTCCTCGGCACAGGTGCCGTAGTAAGTCAGCTCCAGGAAGATGGGTGGCTCGCACGAGGCCTTGCCCACAGCCAGGAAGGCGTGCATTGACTGGCTCTCGGCCCAGCCCTCGACCTTGACCTCCACATTGACACCGGATTTGCACAGCACCTCGACGACATTCTGCGCAAAAGCTGTGGGTGTGAGGAGGTTGGAGGGCATCTCCTGCAGCTGTCTCGTCAGGTTCTGGGCGGCTGCCTTCTGCAGACCAATGCGCCATCCTTCGAGGTCGCAGACCTCGTCTTTTCTTGCGTATAAGTCCAGCGACGGCACTGGAATCCTGTTCTGTGGGTTACGCAGCTCCTGGTAGAGCCAATGCGGCCCCCTCGGCGGCGGCGCTCTGGCTCGATCGCGAAGAAAAGGCGAGCCTCGCCCCGCTTGGGCATGGGTCCGGACATGCGGAGGACCTCTAGCAATCGGCCGGCAGTCTTCTGGACATTGTACCGCCAACCGGCCGCGGTGAGGACGCCAGCATCATTGCGGTCCGTTTCGTCGGCGAACACGCCGACCACAAGTCCGCGGGATGGAGGATCCGCACACATGTCCATCTGCTGGAGCTGCAACATCTGGTTTACCGCCTGCGAGGCGGAGCGGCGCTGGATAGCCTGGGGACGTGGTCGCAGGCGCTGCGGGAAGGCCTGGGAGACCAGCCGACGTACAACGCCAAGCATTATTTTTCGTTAAGCCCACACAATGTACTAAATATCAGAATATACGTATTTGGTGTTAAATTTCTAGCAATAGAGAATGCCAAATTGAGGCGATGAATGTACTCCATGAGAAAGTGACACTCACTTCAAGGGCTATTTGGTCGGTACATTCAGGAAATTCGAAAGGATCAGAATCTAAAAACGAGTGGACATCGGCCCTTCACTCACTACTGTTTTGGTTTGGCTGTCCTCGGAGGAGTAAACATGTCGAGTATGTATATCTTTGACAAATGGGGCTAACAAATCATGAACTCTTGAAGGGCCATGGTACTCAAATAGATGTGGCTCTGGATGGGTGTAACTTCCAGAAGGAAGCCTTTTCGTCCTATGAGCGTCCTTGATGAGCACCTAGATATCAGAGACCATGAAAGCTAGAGTCACCAAATTGTATATCCAGACACCTGGACCCGTCCGCCCCCACAAAGACCAAAAATCTGTGGCATTCACAATTAACGCAGAATCGTAGAGAACGCCATATTTACTAGACTGTCAAATGTGGATGAGATCGGATCGTTATTATAACGACCAAATCGCCTTCCACGCGCTTACTCATTCTCTCTCGATCTCTCTATCCATCTCACACACTCTTTCTCGTGCAGTGTGTTCGCTCTGGCGGAGGGAAGCGAGACAGAACGGCGGGCTTTTGTGTAAGAAAGAGAGAGAGGCAGAAAAGTTCCACTCTCCTATCTCATGACAAGTGCGAGCATAATTCAGAGTTAATTTCGTTCCCGCTCGTTAAAGAATCTTTTTTGTATAAGTGGGTGATAAAAAAGAAAGGTTTTTAAAATCAAAACGTTAGAGAATACAATTTATTTGGCATACGCCTAACTTTTAAAATATTTCAGCGAAAAATAAGCTTTAATTTTACAATAAGGCATTGCCGTTACAAAGTGCCGTGACTAAATGATTCCTTTAAATACTGCATCATTAATTCCTGAAAATTTAGAATAGTTTTTCTAAAATAAAGAGACCGAAAAACTTGGGTGACTGCAAATTTGTATTTTACGACGACGAAAAAAAAAGGAGTGCGTGCGTTCGTTTTCATAGATTTTTCTCGACTTCTCTTCATATATTCAAACAATTTCTTCTGCGCCTATCTTACCTACGGTGGCAAAGCGGGGCGAATTCGCCAAGAGCGAGAGAGCGAGCTTATATTGCGCTCCCGCTTTGCCCTAGCCTAACTTACACTAGACTTCATAAAATACGATCCTAATAACAATTATTATACGCCAAATGGCGCTACACCGGCCCCGTTGAAGGCCTGGAAGGCTTCAAACCAGTGGCAGAAGAGCCAACTTGTGGATTGGCCTCCTGAACGTGGCTCCGCTGCTCGTCCTTAGGTCGACCACTCTGACCCTTCCGTCCTGCCCGGCGGTTGTAACGACCACCCTTCCGAGGAGCCCCTGTTGAGGGGGCAGGTTGTCGTCGGCGACGATTACGAGGTCGCCTTCCTTGATGTTTGGTTCCTCCTGGTGCCACTTGAATCTTATTTGCAATCCCAGCACAAACTCCAGGGACCATCGCTGCCAGAACATTTGCCTGGCTGACGAGACAAGCCGCCATCGCTTTAAGCAGCTCACACCCTCCTGGTCCGGGGTCCTGGGGGTGCGATGAGCGGCCCGCCTGTCAGCAGGTGCCCGGGAGTCAGCATGTCTCAGTCGCTTGGGTCTGGGCTTAGGGGTCCTAGCGGGCGCGAGTTGAGTACCGCCTCGATCCCGACCAGCACGGTCTCCAGCTCCTCTGCGGTGAGGAGAGCGCTTCCGACTGCCTCTATCTTCCTCCGCAGTTCGCTGAAGTGGCGACTTGCTCCGACGAAATTTGTCGCGTTGTCGCAGTTCACGCGTTGCGGACATCCTCGACGACCGACGAACCTTTGGAATGCCAACAAGAAGGAATTAGTCGTCAAATCGGAGACAATTTCTAAATGAACCGCCTTGGACGCAAAACAGACAAATAACGCTATGTAGGACTTATAAATGGGCCTTCCACGAATTTTCAGAGTCGTATAGACTGGGCCACAAAAATCAACGCCACATACTGAAAATGGGCGGAGAGCACGGAGCCGGTCTGCGGGTAAGTTGCCCATCATTTGGGTCTGAAGTAGCGGCTTGCATTTAAAGCAA